ATAATGTTTGACCTTTTTGAAAGCCAACAACTTTGAATTTGGATAAAATGATTAGAATAATTACAACATGATATTTAAATGAAATTTTAATGTATCAGATGAGGAAAACATTCAATTTTCACATGTGCTTATAATATAAATGATCCATAGTCATCCTATCTGTTTTAACAGAACTTGATCATGTTTATATGAATTACCAGCTTTTTACATGTAATGAATTTACAGTACTCTGTGTGTTGTTGTGCTAGCAAGCTAAATTGAATGTTGAATTTATATCATTATCACTGCCTGGTGGTATGCAAATAAAATACATTATATATAAATGTTGTATATAAAGAGAAGCAATATGTTAGTAAGAATGGGCCGTGTTAAAATGAATGAATTCTTTTCGAATATCACATTTGAGTGTTTCTTTCCTATCTTTCTCCAGTCAGTGGTTCGCTGGCAGTGTGTACTCTTTCAGGAAACCCTATGCAAAAATTATCGGTTGATTACACTTATAAACCAGAAAAAAAAACAATCATATGATAGGATAAAGATTATTGAAAATATTGAAATTATATCGGCACAAATTTACAGCAAATATGAGCTTCAAAAGAAATGGGTTTTATGTACGCGCCTTTATGATAGCTATTACGCAAATTACTACTAATAACACTTAGAATTTAGAATACAGACCAAACAAGGCATTTTTTTCAACTTACATCACTAGTTCTAGATATAATGTCCTCTTCCAAGTCTTCACTGTCTTCAGTATATCTAAAAGTCGCGTAAAAATCGTCGGCAAACTCAAATTGATCGCTAGTTCTGTTCGCCATCTTGGAAACTCTGTTGTGTTTGTGCACGGTCAGAGTCACGTGACTGGTACGTTCAACATCAAATCCGAAACAATAGGCCGGCCCTTTGAAGTTCGCCGGGTTTCCTAACCATCTCCCTCTATTAACTATGGTGACAGGGAGGATGAGTTGAGAAGCAAGATTAAAGCTATAGTTCCATGTGATATTACAGCGAGCAATCCACTGCATACAGCGACTTTGACAAAA